TATATATATATATATATAAAATCATGAGCTTTCATGGGCAAAACCTACCCCTCTGAGTAGGCAAATGCATGCATACTGAACCCCTCCCAGAACAAACTGTACTAGGAACACCTAACTAATGTTTAACCATCAAAAAGCTCTTTAGTATAGATAGAGCTTGATTGAAACTGTTAGCATCAATTCCTAGTGACTCCATTCTTATCTTGTTTACAGCTGATAAAAGGAGGTGGGCTTGCTCATGAGGGGTTTGTCTCAGATTCTTCTGCCTAAGTAATCACTTTCTGATAGATTTTTGTTGACAACAAACATTGCAAGCTATGCTGCAGTTTCATGCCAAACTCTTCTCCATGAGTCAGTCAGGCAAAAGTGGCATCCTAGCAACCTACGCCTGTTGCCTCAGCTCATATGTGTGCGTCCTTTCTGTATGACTGCAGGGAAAAGGAAGAAAGGAATAAGGTAACATGGTGAGAAACATTTATCAATTGATTTACAGCTCTCTAGGCTATCAAATCTTTCACTCCTGAGAGCTGACTTCAGATCTTAAACAAATGGCACAAAGTGTGAAGATGAATTTATATAACTTTAAAAAGGGGATGCTTGTAAAGAAACCTCTTGTATAAAACGAGGGACTTGGTATCAAAAGAGTAGTGTGACATCACTGCCATTTAAATCAAGATTACATTCACACACACACACACACACAAAAACCACTATTGAGCATTCTGTCTCCATGTTTATTTTGTCCTGTTTACAGTTTCTGGCTTCCATATGAGGTGAGGGAGAAAAACAATAATTTGGATCCAGAGTGATATGATAGTGTGTCTGTTAGCTTTATTTTCTAAAGGTTTCAAACTAAAGGGATACTGGCTTGTAGATTAGTGTTTTGTCTAATAACACATGATTAAAAGCATTTAGTGCTTTACTTTTTGAACTCGAAACATTCTCATTTTATGCAAACAGAAGAGAAAGCATAGAACTGGAGTTTGTTAGAATAATAGGAATTTAATGAGTTTGATTTTAAAAAAGCAAACATTGGGAAAATATTTTACTGAAATATTTCTCACCACTGCTAAAAACCAAACCAAACACTGTTAGCACGTGCAAATACATTATGGCCCAGATTCAGGGGAACATCCCTATTCAGGCTAGTACTTGAGCATGTATTTAATTTAAGGTTAATAGGGACTAAACAAATGGCTAAGCCTAAGTATGTACTTAAGTGCTACCATGAATAGAGTTGAACTTGAGCACAGGCTTAATTGCTTTATTGAACTAGATCCAAACGGAGCAGATAGCAAAACCCGTGAAAAAGTAAGCTAGATTTTAAAACGTATTCAACTTTAATCTAAGATACTATTAACTCAAGTAAGGATTCTGTTTTTCCTGACACTAGACATAGTCATGCTAAAATTAGAGTCTCAGTTCTAGATTCTATTCTATTGGTGTACTCATGTCATATAACTAGATTGAATTATGCTCTCAGATACTCCAGGGCTGTGTCTAGACTGGCAAGTTTTTCCGGAAAAACTTGCCAGCTGTTTACACTGGCCGCTTGAATTTCCGCAAGAACACTGACTTCCTACTGTCTGAAATCAGTGCTTCTTGCGGAAATACTATGCTGCTCCCGTTCCGGCAAAAGTCCCTTTTGCACAAAGCTTTTGCGGAAAAGGACCAGTATAGACAGCTCAGATTTGTTTTGCGCAAAAAAGCCCCGATCGCGAAAATGGCGATCGGGGCTTTTTTGCAGAAAAGAGCGTCTAGATTGGCACAGACATTTTTCCACAAAAAGTGCTTTTGTGGAAAAGCGTCCATGCCAATCTAGACGCTCTTTTCCACAAATGCTTTTAACGGAAAAGTTTTCCGTTAAAAGCATTTGCGGAAAATCATGCCAGTCTAGATGTAGCCTAGATGTATAGAGATAGCTGGTCTACATGCAAATGTGCACCCAAGTGACACAGAGTTAATTACAACAAACTGGGTTATTTTGGTGCAAGTCTGTGCTCTGGTACAAACGTGGTTAATGCTGATTTAGGGAAAAGTGGTAACAAGTCTAAATTAGAATACAGACAGATAGAACAGAGTTAAAAATCCTGCATCTGCACTAGGAAAAAGGTTAAGTATAGGTCCAGTATAGCCAGCAGGTGGTATCTACACAGCACCCTAAGCTCAAAATAAGAGACAAAAGTTGTGCTATGCATCTTCAGTATCTTATTTGAACTGAAACAAAATACAGGACTATGTAGCACTTTAAAGACTAACAAGATGGTTTATAAGGTGATGAGCTTTCGTGGGCCAGACCCACTTCCTCAGATCAAATAGTGGAAGAAAATTGTCACACCCATATATACCAAAGGATACAATTTTAAAAAATGAACACATATGAAAAGGACAAATCAAATTTCAGAAGAGAAGGGGAATGGGGGAGGGGAGGTAAATGTCTGTGGTAAATGTCCCCCTCCCCCATCCCCCATCTGTTCTGAAATTTGATTTGTTCTTTTCATATGTGTTCATTTTTTTAAATTGTATCCTTTGGTATATATGGGTGTGACAATTTTCTTCCACTATTTGATCTGAGGAAGTGGGTCTGGCCCACGAAAGCTCATCACCTTATAAACCATCTTGTTAGTCTTTAAAGTGCTACATAGTCCTGTATTTTGTTTCAGCTACACCAGACTAACACAGCTACATTTCTATCATTATTTTAACTGAATTTTGAAATAGGCTATTTTGAAATCTGGTATGTTTACACAGTGCCAAATTTCAAAATAATGCGCTTTTTCGAGACATGCCTTAACAGTCGTAGAATGAAGGTTACCAGGATGCCGAAATAGCACGCGTGTTATTTTGAAAAATATTTTGAAATAATGGGCGTGTGAAGATGCAGGGTAGCTATTTCGGGATACCTCCAGTATTCCAAAATAGCCGTGCAGCATAGACATTTTTCTTTACTACCAAAAAAGTGTGGGGTTTTTTTTCATGGCAAGCTATCTCAGTGTAAATTCTAGTGAAGGCCAGATGTGAATAGGTTTTTTTACCTCAATCTTGCTGGTTGAGGTCAACCTCAGGTTCAGTTAAATGAGAGCAAGGATACAGTTTCTTTCCTTATCCACACTGCACTTAATGAGAATAAATTGTGCAACTGACTGGGGGCCACTACAAAATGTATGGAGCCTGAGTCTCCTCTGCTTGCAGTTTGGGTAGTGTCATTTGCACCTGTGATAAGTGGTTCTGAAGTGGCAGTTTTACAGCCACCTTCCATTGTCTTTGCACAGTTGTATTTGACTTTCTGAGGAAATGAGGAATTGGGCCCATGATCTGGCAGATCAGTGTGTTTTTCATACCCTGTGATGGCATCTCCAAATAAGTGGTTTACCAAAGGTGTTTAGAGCAAGCTGAACTATATCTTTATTTTAGTATCTGAAAGAGACCTACAGTCAATTTAATAAGTTCAATTTACAGTTGACATTGATGCTCCCCAGATGCATGAAAAGATACAAGTGTTACAAATTTTTCATCCAAATTAAGGCTCCAAATACAAAACTTAACTCTCGTTGACAAAATGTGGTTTTGTGACTTTTCTTGGAGAACTTTGGGTGCACAAATCAAAAATCAATTACACTGCATGCTGTCAAAGCTAGGTGAACCATAATGTTTCAAACAAATACTAATTCCTCATTTTGTCTTGTTATAGTTACCAATAACATCAAATAAAGAAATTATGGAGTGTCTAACTTAGGATTAGTTACATGGAGGAACACAGAAGGCATAAAAAAAAAGTTTGAATCTCAACCTCTCTCTCTCGCTCTCTCTTTCTCTCTAAGGGCACCACACACTCTTCTGCCCTTAAAGAGCAAAAAGATGGACCAAAATGTATTTCTCTTCTATAGCTGTCTCTTTCACAGGGTAGAATTTCACCCATTCTGTTCAATGTATGATTCCTTACTGATGAAAGATTATATTAAAAGAATATAGGATGTTAATATAAGGTACATGAACAGTGATATGTAGACTTGCAATAGAGGATCACACTATTAAATTTAGTCTCCAGCCTCTGTCAGTGCCCAATAACTCATGTTTCAAAAGACAGAATTAAAATCACACCATACACTGAGGCCCATACATTCTAAACTTGTGTGCCTAAAATGGAGGTGCTCAGTGTTTTTTAAAATCATACTGATTGAAGTCTTCAAAATAGATGTTGGTACTGTACTTAACTTTAGGCATCCAGTGACCTGATCCTGCCCTTCACTGCCTGCAGACAGAAACTGATGTAAATAGCACTTTTTGCTCCACCTCCAGCAAGCTGTATGTGGGTTAGGGGTGGGGTGGACTCGCAGACTCAGAGAAATGATAAACTGTCACTACCTCAGCGAGGATCTACAAGCAGTCGGAGCTAGGAACTATGTCTCATCTATATTGCTATGGTCTGGAGATAACAGGAAAAGTTTTCTCAGTTTGCTCTTCGCTCCTCTTTTCCCCTGTCCCTTGATGCAGCAGCCCCAGTGTATGGCATGAAGATTGCTGCATGGAACAGCCTAGACTGAGTTACTTGGAATCGTGCTTCTAGTCAAGCAGCTGGGACTCACACTAGAATTCCAGAGTGAAGAAAAATGTACCGGGGACAGCACGTTAGGTAAGGCTAGCTGCGCTGCCAATTGCTTTATACTAATTTGATTTGCGTTAAACTCTTTATATACAATTGAGTGTAGACATTTTTTTTAACAAGAGTAAAATTGAAACAACGTATTCGTAGACTTTGGTTCTAATGAAGATTAATGCCTACTTTTGTCTTCGGTGCTTTTCAAATGGGATACTTTCCTACTATTAGCCTAGCTTTTCTCAACTATACATAGCCACTTGAAAACATCCAAATATAGGAATCTGTGGCATTATGGAGGAATTCTAGGTGTTTTACATATTTTTTATTGTGTGTGCTCATTTGAATTATTATACTAATTTCATTGAAGTGTTTATCACTGTACTCCGTACTTTTTACTGCCATACATTAATTTATTTTTGTTTTTGTAGAATTCTTTTCACTGTGAGTCTGGCTTTACAGGTCATTCATTATGGAAAAGGTAAGGGGAGCTTCATTATTTTCCAGCTGGTTTTTGTTTCCTAGCTTTTCCAAAACTACGTGCGTTGCTCATTTGAAACTCTTCTTTCCTTCCCCTGCTGATGTCACTACCTTTCCAAGGCCGTGAAAAAGAGGAGCACAAAAGTGATGGAGAAAATGTCCATGCGACAGCCCTAAAGCAACAACCAAAAAATCAAGGCACTGCTCTAAGTATGTTTAGTGACATGAATCGGAGTGATGAGAGCAACAAGCTACAGAGTTCGAGGACTTTTGTCCCTTTCACTGGACTTACAGATAGTAGGTAACATTATTTATATCTCATGTGGGTGCCGTGCTGTAATATTGCTGTTAACCATTTGCTAGCTGCCTTCATAAGCATTCATTCACCGTAACGTTTGGCAGACTGTCCTCCCAACCCGACTAGATTTAGAAAGCCCTCCCTACCACTGTAAAGTGGACATACAAAATTAAGGTGAAAGAGGTTTCTTCCATCTACAAAATCACTATCCAGCATAAAGAAAATAAGTGCAGATGTTGGTCTTACAAATGAGAGGCACCAGACTTAAAGGGGGTTTTTGTTGTTGTTTTATGAATTTTAAAAATTCTCTTTAAAACTGAAATGTTCCTCATTTTGTTATTTAAGAGTCACTGTCTGTAAACAACAGACAATACCATCCAAAACCCACTGCTGGTTTTTGCTTCCCCTACCACCACAAAGGTCGGTGAGAGAATCTAACCCAGTCAGATCTCCCTGCATGGTGCGGTCAAGCTGAGTGGCGGTGCTAAAGAACAGCCTTGATTTATAAGTGTGTCTGAAATCTGCCTCTGTCAACGTGAAATATTTCAGGGCCATACGTACTTCTTCTGTAGAAGTTGTCGGGAGTTGCTTCTTGACCATCTTGTAATCCCTAGTCGTTTGCTTTTAATCCTTAACTAAACAAACTCAGCTTAACTGAACAAACATTCCTAACAGGCAGCTAATTTTATTGCTCCAAAGGGCAATAAAGCTAGACATCCCTCAGACTCTTTGGCAGCTACAGAGACCCAAAGGAGAAAGGGGGTGGGTTGGGTCAAAGCGTTGCTATTAGTAAACGGTGGAACATTGTCTTTTAGGTAAAAAACTTAACAGACATTGTTGTCAAAATGGAGGCACCTGTATCCTGGGCAGTTTCTGTGCATGCCCCAAACACTTCACTGGCAGATACTGTGAGCACGATGAGCGGAATAGGTAAGCAAGCAACGCTGAAGGCCGAGATCTTCCGGGGTATTATTGAAGAGAAGCAGGGAAATGGCAAAACCTCTCCCTTGTCATTGACAGCAACTGTGGCCACGTTGCCCATGGAGCTTGGGTGCAAAAGGGTTGTCGACTATGTCGATGTGGCTACGGGATACTGCACTGTCTTTCGGAAACGATACAAGCCAACTGTGGTAAGGAGAAGTTTTTTTAACTAGAGGGGATAAGTGGTACTTTAAGAGGTCACCTGGCTCCAGTTTACTTTCTGCAGGGTTTGCATTTTCAGAGACCAGGAAACTTATTCAGAGGCCCCCTCTGCTTTTTGAGAACACATTAATGTAACAGGAACTCTCCATTTGCACTTCTAAAGCATCTCGCCCAGGGATCTCAAAGTACTTTACAAATACTGTACTGTAGGGAATTCTCTCTGTCCCCCATCCCCACTTAAATTAATAATTAAAGAGGCGAGATTAATTGGCCGGTTTTTCAAAACACATCAGTGGGACTATTCACGTGTGTAAATTACATGCATAAAATTTGCTGGGACAGAAGGGTTAGAACCTTCTTGAGAACAGTTACCAAAATAAACTACAATAAAGCTTTTACACTTAGGTGGAGCCTTTTGTCAGAGGGTCTTACTAAATGCTACCGTCTTCACCTCCACTTGTGGGTCAGGGATAGGCTATATTATTCCCATTATATACAGGGAGAAATGGAAGCAACAAGAAGTTAAGTGACTTGTATAAGATCACGTAGGAAGCATGTGGTAGAGAATGACTAACTAGCAACTTACCCTGAAAGGAGGCTTCTCTTGTCAGCTTCATCAATCAAGAAATCCCTAAGAGGGGCTAACTAGGTCTACCTAATGTTATCTACGTGGGGCTTAGGTTGACCTAGATAGGAATTAACATAATTCGGGATGTGGATTATTCACACCCCTGAGCAAAGTAGTTATGCTAACCGAATTTTTCTAGTGTAGATCAGGCCACAAATTTGTAGTGTTTTTTTGAAGATTGAGTACAAATGCTGTGTGTTTATCATCATATACCTTTTAACAGACTGCAATTACTGGAAAAGGTATGCGCCGCCTTTGCTAAATTGCATCAGGCTTTTTGAGATCTAATGGTGAAAAGTGCTAGATAAGTAGACATGTTTGAAAACTAGGTACAACAAAAATGGCTAGGGCTGAATTACTCTGCTATTTTCTGCTTGTGTGTTAATGGCTATTGAAGGAAGGCTTTTTTTTCCCCCTTCAGGAAAGGGTTAACAGTCAAACATAAGGAATGAGTGCATGCCACTTGCTAACATCTTTGCCGGTCCGGTGTTTGGTATTTACTTTTGATTATGCTAAGAGTAATGCCTGGAAGAGCTGATAAGTGCTATCAGTTGCTTCTCAAACGATCCTTGATGGCCTCCATTCACATCTCCCCTCTGAGAATAGACTTTTAGATTGGCTTTCGCATCTGATCGCTTTAACTTAAGTACCTGCAAAGCTGTTGGGAGGAAATTTCAAAGTCCCGTTGAAGTCTCTTTCACTCCCCCCTGGTAACTTGTATTGCTAATTGTTATTATTTTCCCTCAGATCTAAGAATGGAAGAGGAGGAATTTCTCAGGTTACGTTCTAGTGGCCGGAGATTACACCAAACAATGGGCTCTCTCATTCTCCTACTCTTCTGCTTCCTCACGTTGCTCTGCAGCAGGCTCCATCTGCAGCTTTGATACTGGCTAGATGGAGGGGGACTTGAGAACTGAAATTCCCTCCCTTTAAGTTTTGCCCACTGACACAAGCCTTTTTCTCAACTGGCTGAAGGACAAGAGGTGAAATGTACTCTCCATCAAATTGTCCTCTTTAACTTAAAGAGGCCTCTACTTACTTACCTCACTGACAGGAACACTTTATGGGTCAATTAGTTAACATTAGTAAAGAGCTCCGATTACAAGAAGCACTAGACTGTATGAATGCTATGTATTAATTCTTATACTTCTATCGGGGTCTGATTTAAGCAGTCTCTAGCTTTGAAGTATTGGCTCTTCCAGTGGAAGAAACCCCTCCATGTTCTATGCCATAAGCATTGGAAATTATAGCTTTTATTTCTGTTGTGTGTCTGTATATTTAACATATTTAAAAAAATAAAACAAATCTTATTTCCAAGGATCTCTTCGTTCTTTTACTTTCTTTCACTACCTTTATAAAAAGAACAGGAGAAAGCTGGTCAGTGGCTGTGGCATTTCCTGTGACTAATTGCTGCTCTTGGGATTCAATCCAAGCCACTCTCTGGAAATATGTTGCTCCACCAGTCATCACTTAGGTGTTGATCCTGCCTTGGGATGCAGCCCTGTGTAAAGAGACCACCTTTCTCCCAGAGGTAATAAAATACTATTGCCTGGGACTAGAAGTAGAGTGATTCCTACAGCTGCCTTACACTGGCCAGCCAGATCCAAGGCTCCCTATTCCCCACCCTTCTGCCTAGTGTTCTAATCTTTTCCATCCACAGGTGGATTTTTTCTACTCATCTGCAGAATAAATTGTATGTGCAGAGGCATGTGCACCACCAGTAGAAACAGAAAGTCTAGCTGTGAGCACTCTGCTAATCAGCTGGGAGGTATTTGAATCTGTGTGGTTGCACAAGCACTCAGCTTAGGGAACACTGGCTTCTGCCCACAACCAGCACCCCTACCCCAGTGGTGAATATACAGCCTATGCTCTTCTCCACTCCAGCAACTGAGTTGTGCATAGGTTACACAGAGAGATGGAGGTATCCTCTGAGAAAACAAATTCAAGACAGAATCTATTCTCTAAGGGGAACGTCTACCCAGCAGGGCTTAATTTGAAATAAGCAATACAAATTGAGCTATGTCAATTGCGTAGCTTATTTTGAAATAGCTTATTTCGAGTTATGAAATAGAGCACTCTTCCTCCAACTTACCTTACTCCTCATAAAATGAGGGTTACAGGAGTCGGAGTAAGAAGTCCCTCCAGTTTGACAGTATTTCGACATGTTGAAATAAGCGTCTACACAGCCGGCCATTATTTCAAAATAATGTTGCTATGTAGACGTAGCCCAATGGACAAACCCATGCCTCAGTGCCCTGGCCAAATACTCTTGACTGACACAGCTTTCCAGGGAGAAGGAATCCTTCCTCCACCTACCACTTTCCCCACCCCAGAGAGCTGCAAAGCACCAATGGAGCCCACTTTTGTGAGGTGAAGGTCGTCATTGAATTCTCCACCCCTAAGGGTTAGTCTTAAAGGTAAAAAGTATGGCTGGGGATGGTAGAGTGCCTCCAATAGTGTTGATCCCCTGGGTTATTCCAACCTAAACGTTACACAGCCATGGTCAAGAGGGAAATTCTAGCTTTCCACTCTGCAAGATGCTCAGGTTCTTTCTCCTCCCCTTGTCCTATGCTATGAAGCTACCATGCTGCTGCCAGGAACTACTGCAGCCACAAAGATGGGGGCAAAATGTACATCAAAATGAACATGTTCTTTTGGAAAATATTTATTGTGTTATACAAGTTGGAGTTCTTGGTGATTTGAATTCTATATCAAACATACAGATCAAACAATGAAAAGTTTCCAAGTTTGATACAGGAGCCCTACTTGTAAAACATATTGCAGATAATATAATTTGGGGGGTAACTGAAATATTCTTCATACCGAGTGCAAAATGTGTGGATGTGCCAGTATTTTGGCTACATTTATGTCTACAGTATGAAATATCAAAAAAAAATCAGTGATAAATGATGTAAAATATGTAAGGCGTGGGGCAGCCAAACAGACCAGAGAGGCTGGAGAATGTAAATATGTGTATACTAACACTGATGGAACGCTGTTATTGAACAGCTGGGGTCTGACTTAACACCAATAGAAAATTCTAGCAAAGCAACGTTTCCTTTCTGTACCAAAGCATCATTCCAAAACAGTTGAACAGGAGCAGAGAGGTAAATTTTCAAAGCATTGCACAGGGAAATTAGCTATGTGAGTGTTTCTGATTAACATCAAGCAGAAATCACTAGCACATTTTAAATGCAAAGTTCTGATCACTTAACCTCATTTGGCAGGAAGAGCTGGCAAAGAACACAAATTCACCTTTAAAAAGTTGTATAAAAATGCCTTCCCCCCTCCATCTCTTGACATTATGTTCAGCACACTGGAAATACTGAAGATGACCTCTTCAAGACCTATTTAGATCTACCAAACTAGGTAAGGCATTCAAGTTGCATATTTTGAAAGTCATTTGCCTTCCCTTTGTGTTAGTGTTTCAGACATTGTCTGTCAGTGGGTCCCTAAGAATAAATGAAGCTAGTCTGCTCTTCTTCAGATACCTCCACAGGACAGATCAAGATTTCAATTTAAAATGAAGCAATGGCATCTTTTTAATTCCTTAAGGACAAAATGCCTGTGTACATGTTCCACATATAGTTTTGTACACACTGTTTTGCATACAAGTCAAAGGGCTGAAAACTGAAAAGCAGCAAGGGACAAAGGAAAGCACATAGTCAGACTCTGCTTAGGCCAAAAGTGTCTCCACTCTTATCTGTCTCCAGCTGTTAAAAACTGTAGATAAAAGAAAACTGCTCCTTCACCCCCAGTATCATGGAGGCCTGGGCCATCCTTCTAACAAAGCAATTACAAGCACTTTGGTGAGATTTGTTTATAGCAGACACTGAAGTTTACTCTGCAGCTTCATGCTAACTCTTTTTATAGATCACTCAGTCAAACATCGCATGTCCTAGCAAACTAGACATCTGTTGCCACAAGTTCATGCATGTGCCCTCCCTATATGTGGCCTCCTTTGGGGAGGAGGGAAACTCTCAAAGGGAAATATTTATCAAATGTTTCACGCCTCTGCAGGCCATTAGACTTCTCACTCCTCACAGTTTACCTCAGAACTAAAACAAATGGCACAACCTGTCCTCTATTTCTTCCCCTCATGCAACCCCCCTGACAGCATATAATTGGTAAAGACCTGAAACCATAAAGGAAATGTACCAAAGGGCACAACTATGAGATGTAGCATCATTGCTATTTTGAAGCAACATCTGCCTTGGGGTGGTTTGGTTTTTGGTATGTTTCTTGTCTGCCTGGTTTCTTGCTGCTTGGTTCAGAATTGTCACTGTACTTGACTAGGTACCCATGAAATTTTTAATACTACACTGAGCTCTAACCTATCATAGGCTTTCTCCAACTTATTTTTTTAATTTGCTGCCCTTAAAAGAGAGTTGCTGAGATTTTGTAGATTTAGTGCAGAGCTGACCAAGACTTTCCAACACAGTCCTATAAATGCAATTTTTCCTTTTTGATGAACTGGATGTTTTGAGGAGAAAACCAGTAGTGGCTCGTGTGTAGCAGGCATTAGGTGCACTCAGCCCCCTTCCTGCAAAAGAATTCAAAAGCACACATGTCTCTCTGTGTTACTAAACATGAATAACAAACCTAGCAAGTGTAGAGCTACGAATTTCCTGAGTTTGTCATTCACAGGCCTCTGGGAGTTCTCCTTCAGAAGGCTAGGGCTGACCTGCAAGTAAGTCCTATGTCCTCAGCCTAGGGCAAAATTGTGCAGAGTGGCAAGGTCCAGACCAATGACAGTTCTTTGAGCTGTGCTTTGACTTGACCTGCTTCCAGGATGTAGATAGGGAGGTGGGTGGATGTCTCAGCTGTTCAGCATCACTCCAGTGGGAAGGAGAAAAGAGAGACTGTCAGCTGTCTCTATTGCCTCTCTCAGAATCTGATTACACTCTTCCTGTGAAGATGAGATTATAATCATGTCATTTGCTAGGATACTGTGTATCCCCACATGTTCCACTAACTATTACTGAGGTCAGAGGGAAAAATGTGTATCTGCCCCATAGTGTTTAAGCACACAGTTCAATCAACTCTTTGTAGAGTCTGATTTCTCAATATTCTTCTCTCATTTAAGATTCTGAAGAAACTTTTCCAGCTAGTCAACATTGAGCATCTATTGGTATCAGAAACCACACACATATATGCACGCTCACCTCTTCTACCCACCCCCATCTTAAAGACAAAATCATGAGAGTTGGCAACACTAGATGACAGAGCCTTATTTGTGATCCAAGCAACGGCCGTTTTTCTGAAAAAAACTCTGTAGTGTAGAGTATCAGAGGGGTAGCCATATAAGCCTGAATCTGCAAGAACAATAAAAGTCCTGTCGCACCTTTTAGATTAACAGATGTATTGGAGAATACGCTTTCGTGGGCAAAGACCCACTTGCTTCTGATGAAGTGGGTCTTTGCCCACAAAAGCTTATGCGCCGATACATCTTTTAGTCTATAAGGTGCCACATGACTTCTCATTGTTCTGTAGTATAGACATACTCTGAATGAGCAACATGAATGGGATTTCTGGGAAAAGTTAAACATTCATCTTTTTTGTGTCTTGGACTGTGCTGCTAAATATAAATACACTAATATTACCCAACAAATAATCTCAAGTATATGCAATCTTCAAAGGCAACCTATAAGAACATCTATCCCTGTTTCACACCATCAGTAAAGAGATTCTAAAAGTTAAATTGTTTTGAAAGGGAATCTATATGATCCCCATAATTCCTTGTATTGAAAGATTAAATGCAAAAGTGAAAAAACAAGCAATATTAAAATCCACTCTCCTGCTTTTCATGAGGTGGGACAAGGAGAATCTCCTCTAAAGATCTCTTGCTTTTCTGATCATCTTGAGGTGATGGTGGAATATGAGGATAGAACTGCGAGAGAATTGAAATTGGCATAGAAGAATCTCCTGGGTAGGGGGAGAAAGGTTCTTGATTCTTGGTTTGGTCAGAAATATTTTGAAATATTGGTCACTGGAACCTAGAAGATTCTATACACTAAAGAAATTCGAGCAGCTTAACGTAGTAGAGCTTTCTAGAGGTTTGACTCACTAATATTATTCACAAATTCTGGGAAGTGTTATTCTCTGCTTTCTCACCTAAAAATTCTCCACACATTAGAAAGCATGCACTAGAGGCTTTTGCTGAACATCTAGAAAACATCTTATCGTTTTTTCACTTACCCGGTGAGGCGGGGGGGCGAGCCCCGAGGGGCTCTCGCTTCTGGCTCCAAGCGCCCGGCGCGTGCCGGGCGCGACCCGCTCCGGGGACAGTGTCAGGTGGGGAGTTTGACTGGGGCGGTACACC